TATCCTCGTGAATCTGATGTAATATCGTAACTATCCGAAATAAAGCTCATGCCAATGGCCTAAGTGGTCACCTTTAACATTAAAAAAAAAAAAAAAAAAATAAATTTAAAATACAAATTTTTGTATTATATCTATAATCAGTGTTGTATATGGAACATGTCTATACAACTACCCTAGTATCCCCAACCTAAAAAATTTCACAATTAGGCTAAATTAAAATTTTAGATCAGATGTAATATAAAATTAAACTAAAAATACCCAAACCCTAACCTTAATCTAATCCTAACTCTGGTAGCAAAATTTTTTAGAATAGGGATACTAGAGTCATATGTCCATACTATGTAAAATGTTTAATATCCAAAATTGTCCAAAATTGTCCAAACCTATGTCTATATTTAAATAATCAATAAAATAATATAAAAAAATATATAATTATATATATTTTTAGATGCTAGATTCATTTATAAAAAAATTAAAATAAATTATCTTAATAAAATTTTGAGTAATTTTAATTTGAAAAAATATTCAAAATTGTTCAAAATTGTCCTATACAACGCTGCCTATAATACTATGCTTAATGATGTTGTTTATTTTAAATCACTATAGTAGGACTCTAGAGGATTGGTTGAAGTTACTTGCAATAGAAGAGGTAAATATTGTCATGTCTAGAAAGCCTATTGATTCAAATTTTTCATATAATTTTATATAATATAATTTTTTATACCAAGGACTTGACATATATGAATTGCCTGTTTAATAAGTTCCTCACAACCAATATTTGTAGTTTTATATATTGCTTGAATTATCAAGCTTCATGCTTGGTTTCATATACTTGTTCATTTATACTTGTATTATATAAACTATACAAAAAATCACAGCACATTTTTGTTTGCTATTAGGCCATGCAAAATTAATTAATTGGTTTTCATAACCTGGCCGGGTCAAAATTTGAAAACTTCTAAAAAAAAAATTTTTATATATTTTAATAACCGGGTGGGTTTTAAAAAAAAATTTTATATAAATTTTATAAAATTTTATATATTAAGTTTAAAAAAAAAAGCCGGCCAGCCAGATCTATTTTTAAAATTTCATGTTATAAAAACCAAGTAATTAAATTTGTATGGCCTTAGAAAGACTAGAAAATGCTTTTTTAATACTATTAGTCTTAATATGACTCTGGTTAGCAAGGATATATTGGTGATTCCAGTAACATCCAAATCATCTAACAATTTTTAAGATATCTGTGACTATATTGCTATCTTCTTTATTAGCAAAAAAATAAGTGTTAACATTTCAGCACTTATATATATCTCTTATATACAAAGTAAATAGGCAATAGTTGTATTATTTGTTTTGTGTGTTAAGTAGATTATCTATATCAATTGATCTTTACAAGTTGGAGTAGGTGTACAAAAACTATACTATAGGTAGATCGACTCAAGTTTCTATATTATTTAACATTATATTCTTAAATAAAATAAATAAATAAAATAAATAAATACCATGGAATAAATAAAATAAGTAAAAAAAAAATAGGAATTTTGTACAAGGAAAAGGAATAAAATTGACAAAAAAAATTTTTTTATAAAAAATTAATTATCTTATAAACTAGTTTATGAGATAATTAATTTTTTGTAGAAAAATTTTTTTTGTCAATTTCGTTCTTTTTTCTTGTACCAAGCCTATATATAATAAAGAAAATAAATAAAGCTTAATAAAAATAACAAACCTTCACTTTTTAAAAAATGAATACATTCTGCAATGTTGGATTCTATATTTATATTACCTTCAAAATTATTATTTTTTTGTGCTTTACAAACTTTTTGCTTAATATTTGAAACCTCTTTTTATTTTAATTTTTTAATACTCACACCTAGATCTAGCTTCTTAGTTGCATAGTTTTTAATCGTGCTTATAATAGTAGGTAGTAGATAGTTCTTGACTGCTTCTTCTTCTACTAATTTTCGAGCTGCATCTAAATACTTTACTACTTCCCTTTCTTCAAGAGTGTGTATATAATCAAGGCTGTTATTATATCATTCAATTTGCACTTTTTGTGGCCCAACAAAATGCAACATCTGAATTTTCGCAGAACACAGATTGGAAAAACGGAATTTTGTTTTCTGGTGCTTTTCAAGAGGGATACCTTCTTTTCGACCACTTGAATAATTATGTTTTATAAGTTGACATGCAAAAGCTTTCCATAAATTACTGTTAGTATGATTTTTATAGCTAAACCTGGTCCAAATATTTGAAACAAGTAGCCACTATTTATGATCAAAATCATGTATTGATACTTCAAACAGTTCATCAAAATTGAAGAGAAGTACATGTTTTTCTTTAGTAGTTAAAGATTGAGGTATATAAAATTTAAGTGTAACCTTTTTGTTTGTTTTAAGCAAAGCATTTTTATTTTTTTTAAACATAGTTTCAGTTTCTTTAAACCTTACACTTTTGTTTTTCTCAAGTTCTACACTTTCTTTAAGTTCTATACTTTCCTTAAGTTTTATACTTTTCTCAAGTTCTACATTTTCATTTGCCTCAAATACAACCTCCTTCTCTTTCACAAATATACCTTCTTTGTTTTCTACAAAAAAATTACTTATATAATAATACTAAATACTAGTATATAATATATATTGGCTTATATGAATATAAAAAAATATATATATTGTCTTGCTTTGACATTGTTCATAAAGTGAGAAAAAATTAAAAAAAAAAGAATCTTTATATATATATATATATAATTTAGATCGCAAAAAAAAAAAAAAAAATTAAAAAATCTTAGATCATTATACCAATAAAATCCTAAATTTTTTATCCCCACAGCTTATTTTACAGCTTATTTTATATTCATTACCATCATAAAAGAAAAAATATTAATGTTAAGCTTATAATGGCTATAACAGCCCAGAATTAAAAAAAAAAAAAAATTTAACCTAAGTTCTATGACTTTCTTAATTTACTGCGCTTTTCAAATTATTGTGATCAGTGATTTTTATACATTATACCGGAAATCAAAAATCTAGAAAAAATGCAAATCTGTAATTGGTTAAAAATAATGTTTAGCCAATCATATATTGGTATTTTTTCTAGATTCTGATTCCCGGTGTGATGTATGAAAATCGCTGATTACAGTAATTTGAAAATCACAGTAAATACGATACGAAAAAAATCGGAATTACCCACTTTCCGAAATCTCCCGTGATTCGGGTAATTTCGTAAGGTGACAGAATCATCCAGGGCGACCATCAAAAGTGCAGTAACGTGACTTGTGGTGCAGTCAAACCAAACTACGCACAACTTTATATACTAACGCTAATAAAGCCACAGCTATTCACAGGAAAAAATATTTGCGATCCAACTTTACCACGAACAGGCCTAATTTCTTTTTTTTTCGGATCAAAATTTAAAACTTAATTTCCGGCCAAATTAGAATTTTGAAGATCATCGGCCTAAATTAGATTAATGCAGGGCAAATGTTATAATCACGTTACTGCACTTTTTATGGTCGCCCTGGATGATTCGGCTTTAGACGCCCCCCATATTTGGTAAAATCCCTGACTGCAGTAAGACATGTCCTCTGTTATTGTGGAACGTTTAAGCAGCCAATGAAATTTCAAGGACCGACAGCCAATCAGATAGGCTTTTGCACGTGGATAGGCTTTTGCACGTGCCAGTAGATACTTTAAATCTGTAAATAGCGATATACTCACGCTCATATTCCAGTAGCGAAAAAAAAAGGGAAAGAAAATGTCTACTGATTCGTTTACTGATTCGTCTTCTCAGCCGCAAAAACGGCCTACTGTGCTATTGTGCATTGGCATGGCGGGTTCTGGTAAAACTACCTTTATGCAGGTAATTGCAATTTGATCAAGAATTTTTATCCCAGAAGATAAAAACGTAGTAAACTACTGACAAATTAATATTTTTTATAGCGTTTGAATGCCCATCTTCACAGTGTCAAAAAGCCACCATATGTATTAAATCTTGATCCAGCAGTTACTCAACTTCCGTTCACCGCTAATATTGATATTCGAGATACAGTGAATTACAAGGAAGTGATGAAGCAGTAAATATTCGATCTATTAAAACTTGTTATTTATAAAATGATAACAGAAAAATAAAAGTAATTTTTTATTACTAGATATAATTTAGGACCGAATGGAGGGATTTTGACAAGTCTAAACCTTTTTACTACAAAATTTGATCAAGTACTTGAATTCATTTCCAAACGCGCACCAACACTTGAGTAAGAATTTATTTGATTAATTCATCATTTCAAGGATTTGCCTAACAGCTCAATATAATTTTATAGGCATATCATTGTGGACACGCCTGGCCAAATCGAAATTTTCACGTGGTCCGCATCTGGGGCTATAATTACCGATGCTATGGCGGCAACGTATCCATGCGTAGTAGCATACGTTATAGATACACCACGAACAACAAGCCCAGCAACATTTATGAGCAATATGTTATATGCTTGCAGGTGAATTATAACTATCTTATTTATTTTTATCTATATTATTACTGCATCTCTTCAACTATTGATCCAATTTCAGCAAATTTTAATTACTGATGATATGGGTAACTGATAATAATTGAATGGAAAGTTAGTATTTTATATAAAACAAAACTTCCATTCATATTGGTTTTCAATAAAACCGACGTCGTTTCGCACGAATTCGCAGTGAGATGGATGACAGATTTTGAAACATTTCAGCAAGCTTTGCAAAAAGATTCGAGTTATATGAGCAGTCTTATGAATTCTATGTGCTTGGTTTTGGAAGAGTTTTATAAACATTTAAGGGTAATTAATAATTTCCAGTAGTATTTATTATTATTAATTTTCTTTACTTATATTTATCATAGACTAACTTAGATTTCTGATAGGTTGTTGGGGTCTCAGCCATAACAGGTGCTGGAATGGATGAATTTTTTAAAGCAGTAGATGAAGCAGTCAAAGAATATGAGACGTAAGCGGTAATAAGTAACATGATATATTATTATTTAATTTTCTCATCTAACTATTATTATTTGTTTTTGTTTTAATAGTATTTATAAACCTGAATTAGAAAAGTTGATTCAGGAAAAGGTATTATATACACTTTGGATCCATATAATCTATTTACATTTTACTAATGAGAGCACTTAACAAGGCCGAACGGCAGGAAGACAAGAAACAAGCACAGCTAACAAGACTAATGAAAGACATGGATGTATCAGATTCTTCTTCAAGAGCAGGTAATATTAATAATGTATATCCGTCGACAATATGATTCAGTGTATTTAACTCGTACCTTTTTGCAGATCAAGCAACTGGGTACTATAATGCAAATGAAGATGAAGACGAGGATGAAGATTATGATGAAGGTAGTGATTTTGGCCAATAATGAAATAAAAGTCTGCTAAAGCTAATTTTTTTTGAAATCGGTTGATCAATTTCCTATAACGATAATAAATCATGAGCTTTTGATCATTACAAAAAGTTGTTTTTATATATACATATTACAAATGAGTTTTTTTATATACTATTCTTCACTATACTTATATCGAGAGTTCACTATAACGTGAGTAACTTGTATGTTTACTATATATTTATTATAGCAAGTAATGTTGTGAACGTTAAATCGCGTTTCCTGACGTTGCTTCTGGCAAACTTAATCAGATAATCTTTAGAGATAACAAACAAAAATTCAATTAACATATTAAATTTTTACACAAAATTATTTTTGTTTTACGAAAATCGCATAATTTGAAATAAATTCTGGAAACGCAAAGCATTGGTGTCCTAAAATTTTCGATGTGGAAAATAAAGGTTGAGGCCAAATCTTTCAGTAAATTCGAAAATTCCGGATTAATTACTGTAAAATCGGATAATCGATAAGCCGGCTAAAACGACCGAAAAATGATGATCGGCCAGGATCACTCGGCTTAGTCGAGTCAATAATTTTAAGTCGACTACAACACTACTGGGGCTGATTTAAAAATACACATCCTACAGAAAAGTATTCGCCCTACCTTATTTTAAAAATAAATCATGAGCTTAATTAATCACTTTGTAATTTTACTTTGACAATTTAAGGTAGGGCGAATACTTTTCTATAGGGAGTGTAAATGACCCTTTAGCTACTATACATAACTAATAAATTATACTACACTATAGTTATTTAGTAAGTAAATTTATTTTACACTATTAAGAAGGTTTCGTTGGTATGTACGTTTGTGTTTTAGGATCATACAAGCGACTGAAAATGCTTAGTGATGACCTTGTAATTCTATATCCATAGAATATGCTAACAAATAAACAGTAAGTCTGCAAACCTCTGCAAATTGATTGTTAAGTGCCGTAAATTAAACCAGGAAGTGGGTATTTAAATTTTCACGGTGGCGACTTAACTTCGAAAATTATATTGTATAATTTAATCACAGACATTATCAGTGAAAACTTAAATATTTACTTCCTGGTTTTTAATTTGGCATCACTCAAAATGGTACTTACCGTTATACCTTAAGACTAAAACAGAATAATTAAAACTTGGAAGTTTAAAAGATTATTAAGCAATAACCGAATGAAAAACAAGCTAGACTAGTCTGTGATGACAAGAATTACATAATTTGAAGTCGATTAAGTCGATAATTTTTATCGGCTTAGAGAGTTCTCAAGCAATTAATTGGGTGGTGCGAAATGCGAATTTTAAATTTTAGCCAATGAAAAAAAAAATGGCCTGACTTCTTCATCGAAATGGTAACTCAATTGGTTAGTTTATTCTAATTAAAATTTTGCCTCCGATCAGGATGCTTGAGAATACTCTTAGTCTAGCCGATAAATGTTGAATGGCCAGCTAGAGACACTAATGATGAATGCAAGAAAGAATTTGACAATCATACAGGAGAAGACAAAAATAATGCAATAATTGTTTAACATGAATAGATCTGAAACTTGCAATATTTTTAAAATCATTAAAACCAAATAATTAAAAAAAAAATTTTTCTTGATATGTTTTTATATAAGTTGGTTATTACTGCTTTATCTATTTCTGATTTAGTTTCTTTAAATATTGATAACTAAGGATGTTAAAATTTGAGTCGAGTCTATAAAAACAATCAAAAGTCAAAGCAGGTTAGTTGTTATATATAAATTTCTTGTTTTAGTATAAGCTAAAAGTATTGTAAAATTTGATTTGTTGAGAATAAATTGTTTTCAGGACTATTAAAGCAGGCTTGCAGTTAACTCAAACCGATTCGAAATCCGATAATCTTATTGATAATAAATGTTTTAGATGTTACTATGGTTTATAATTCGTTCGATTTTTTCAACTATCGGTCAGTATTTAATCCGAAAAATTAATTTAGTATAGTCGTGAAATGATACTACAACAATACGGCTTTTTCATTACCGTTACAATTTACGTTACAATACTACCAGTTCAAATGCACTAGATGCACTAAAATAGTAAAATCAGTAAATTACATATAATCAAATACAATTAAATTAGGTTATACGTACGCTTCACTATTGTCGTATTTCATAATTAAAATATTTTGGTCAAGACTTTCTGCGTCGATTCGCGTTACGTATCAAATGATCGATTATCGATTTTCGTGTGTGAGGTACAAAAACTGAAACAAGAAGAAAGGTTTACAAGAAGCAGGGTATATTATCACATGACCTCTTTTTAATGTCCGAATAAAAAAAAACAATTTCTGGAATTATTGAATTAGATATACGTGCTGATATTGTTATAATTGTAATAATATTTTTACTGTAAAAAAAGACCTTTGTGTAAAAAAATAATTATCAGCTTAACGAATAAAGTTTAATAACACGCTCGCTGGCGAGACAACTTCCACACCGCCATCCTTTCATCACTCTACAAAGGTTAGTTAAATAGTAAAATTTTGGTAGTGTAAAGTAGATAGTTATTATATACTGACAAACTTGTACTCCCTCTTACCGTAACATTAAAAAGACGTACAGTCGTTAATTTACCACGAGGTTCGGGCTGTCAAACAAACATATCTATTACCCTTATAAACAAACTCAACGAATTGATCATAAAAGAAACTATATGTAATAATGAGCAGAGTACTTAAACGAACACCAAGTACAGGAACAATGCAGAGTAACATTTCATCAATTGAAGCCCCTAGCACAATGAGTGCAAACACTTTAAATCGTCCCGCTCAAGCTTCGCAATCATTATATCCACAATGTCAAGATCTTTTAGGAAGACTTTATTGTGTAGAAGGATTTGAAGAATATTTAATACAAGGACGAAATAGTATGCAAAGCAACGGCTCAATAGTCGGAACACCGACGTCTGAAAATGGTCCTAGTAGTTTAATTCTTAGAGAAGATCCTGTAACTCTTTTATGGCAGACTTTTCGTCTAGGTTATCCTCTTTGTGCGCTCGTTAATGCTTATAAACCAAAAAAACCATTAAAAGTTACAATTGAAGATTCAAAACCAAAAGCCTTTGTATATAAATTTTTGGTTGCTTGTCAGGAGGAGTTTCAATTAAAACCAGAACAACTATTTACAATCACACAATTATTTCAGGATGATACAAATGGTTTCGTTATGGTACGTGACAAGCTATGTATTAATTTATGATCCCATATGTTCATTCTAGTTTGATTATTATTCCTTAGAAACTTATAAGAATATGTATTGGGATTATATATAGTATTATTATACTTAATTATAATTTTAATTTCGCACATTATTCATCATTATTCATATTATTTCTTATTATGTTAGGTAATTAATACAGTAAAACTTGTAACTGATAAGATTGAAGAGAAAGGTCTTCTCAATTTATCTCGAAAAAGAGATTGGGGAAGATCAGATCCAAAAAAACCCACTGATAATCGGGCTAGAGTAGTGCATGAGTTGCTAGAAACTGAAAGAAAATATGTTCAGGATATGGAAGTTTTACAGGTAATTTAATCCTTTTTTTTTTTTTGAAATTATTTATTTAACCGCGTAAGGTTGATATGTATATATATTTTTTAAAGTTTATTCCAAATTCTTGACATTTATGAATTTCTTATTTAGAATTATGCTAGAGAGCTTCAGAGTCAAGACATCGTTAGCGCGGATACTATTCATTTACTCTTCGCTAATCTTAATCAATTAGTTGATTTTCAACGCCGCTTCCTTATAGGTGTGGAAGCTACGTCTAGTGCAAGTCCAGAAGAGCAGCGTTTTGGCAGTCTGTTTATACAAATGGTATATAATTTTTGTTTTATAATTAAGCATTACCAATTATCATAGGTTTAAATAATTTGGATGTATAAAAAAAAAAAAAAGAAAATTTATATTTCCAAGTTATTTATACTTATTATAACTGATAATATCAATGTATGAATAAATTTTAAGTGAATATAAATAAATTAAAAATAGGAAGAAAATTTTGCGGTTTATGAACCATTTTGCGCAAATTATCAATCTGCTTCCGACCTAGTTATTCAAGAATTACCGAACTTACAGGTAATTTTTCTAATGGAATTTTATGTTGATTTTTTTTTATGTTAATTTTATGTACTAATTTTTTTTAATATTAAACTACTTTTTTTTTTTGTTTTTTTTTGACAGAAATTATCCCATGTAGTTGAACCAACATATGAACTACCATCATTATTAATTAAGCCTATTCAACGTATCTGTAAATATCCATTATTATTGCAGGTAACTATAGAATCTATATCTAAAAAATAAACGAGCTTTATTTTTTTATATTTAATATTTTATATTGAATGAATATATAGGAATTATTAAAATTTACTGATAAAGAGGATAAATACTATGAGGAAATTAAGTGTGGTCTCAATGCAATCAAGCGTGTGGCCGATCGTGTAAATGAAACGCGGCGTCAACAAGAAAATGCTGCTGTCGTTAAAGATTTGGAGCGTCGTGTAGAAGATTGGAAAGGTCATAAAATTGAGCAATTTGGCGAACTTTTACTTGAAGATGTATTCACTATGTCTAAAGATGATTCTGAACGTGAATATCATGTATATTTATTTGAAAAGATTTTACTTTGTTGTAAGGAAACAAATTCAAAAAAACAACAAAGTAAATCTCAACTTCTTAAAAACAATAATCGAAAATCTAAAAGAGCTAGCCTGCAATTAAAAGGAAGAATATTTATACACAATATTACTGCTGCAGTAGAAAATCGGGGTGGTGAAAACGGTCGGTCTGGGGGTATGTTGTTGAATTTATTTATTTTATATTTTTATTTTATTTATTTATTTTATTTTTTTTTGCGTTTAATTATTACTTTATTAATATATCATTTTTAAATTTTAGTATTGTCATTAAGAATATATTGGCGAGGGGATAGCGAGATGGAGTCTTTTTCTCTCAAATGTCGAAATGAAGAACAACTTAAACAATGGAAATCTACATTAGAAAAATTGTTACCAGGAGATAGTAATCATCGTCATACAATGACGAAAGGACAATTAGATAATACTACTCCTCCGAAACGCCCTGGAGTATCAAACACACAGTTGGCATCTTTGCAGAACCTTGACCTTCCTTACTTTCGCCGAGATGGTGACACTGACTCATTTATTGAAGACGAAGATGATTATGATGATGATGATGATGATGAATCTGATGACTATGTTATGAATCATAATAATAATAATAAACTACTAAAAAGTCAATCATTACCTTATGGTCAATTTCCCTCTCCTTATAATGATAAAGGTAGGCCGAAAACCAACGAGTCTGTAGCACCTCCACCTTATGGTTGGGATCCAAATTCACCACCGTTGCCAAATACACATCCACAACACCGATCACACTCATCAGTTCAAAATTTGTCCCGAAATGGTAATTCAACTGCACCCCCAACCATGGCTACGTTCCCGTCAAACGCTATGATGCAGGTGGAAAATAATATGGGTTATTTTCCGAATTCTCCACCACCTTCATATCCTGGTTCTCCAGCTCCATCTACTCGTAGCAGTACAACTTCACATTCAAGCTCTAATCCTGTTGCTATATGGCAACGTAGAAGTGTTGAGCATCCATCGCCTCTTGCAGGCACTATTGCAAAATTTATGAATGAAGATGATGAATATAGTATTAACCCACCACCACTACCAATTCAACGTTCTCATTCTCATAGTGCTGCCCCAGGTCAAACATTTAATCAAGTTAATGGACCTGCGCCTAATTTGCCAAATCACAACGTTGTAAATCGCCTAAGATCACAAAGTAGTCCAAATATCCAAGCCATTCAGGAATTACAATTTGAAAATACAGAACCTGTGCCTAGCATTCCGAATTCTAGTAACCCTGCGCGTCAAAATGTTACTAATGGGTTTCAATCAATAGAGATAGAACAACGAAGTAGTGGGTCAAGCAATTCCTCACAAACTTCTGGACAATCTCTTCATACTACTAATTCAACAAATTTATCTACAAATAATAATTTGTTGTCACCTCAAAGTGACCAAAAGAAGCAACATTCTTTATCTAATTATTCTACGACTATGAAAATTAAAGTGAATTTTGCTGAAGATGTCTTTGTGATAGTTGTCCCTCAAGATATTGAATACAGGGAATTATGTGATCGTGTGGAACGTAAAATACGCTTATGTTCTACACGAAGGGATGAAAGCGTTCCCATTCGAATTAGATACCAGGATGAGGATGGTGATCATATTACAATTAATTCTGATGAAGATGTTTCAATGGCATTTGAAGGTAGACTAGCCGCGGGTGGAAATTTTGTTAATTTGTATGTAAGCTGAAAATTTATTATAATAAGATATGAAACATTACAAGGTCAAAATCTGGGCATAAGTAATGTGACCCGACCTCCTTATCAGGTCATCCGGAATCACATGAATTAACGTTTGCACGATAAAAAAAGGTGTGAATTTTGATATCCTTAATAATAATAGTGTTGGTTGTTGGTTACTGGAAAGTATCGTGTGCGTTTAGATGGTAAATTGTAAAACGGCATCGGGTGTCCTCTTTTTTTTTTTGAAAAAGGTTCATTTATAGCGGTTAACTTTTTTTTTTTTTTTTTAACTATTATATACCTAAATATTTTACTAATTAGAAAAATCTGGTGAACAGAAGTGTATAATCTCTCTTTTATTTAACTGCTTAAATATTCTTGTTTTCACATTTTTTTTTTTCTTTTTATCATTTATTTAACGTTTATTTACACAAATGTGAAAGATCAAGAATGTTTACAGGAAAAATTTTTTATCCTACATTTCCTTCAAAAATATCTTTATATTACGATATATCATGTATTGCCATTAAAAAAAAAAAAATAATAATCAAAACATAATTAAATTACCGTTTAGCATTACTGTATATATAGTATGTGATTTATTTTTATATGTATATTTGTGTTTATAGAATGGGTAATTTGACGATTGTGACAAATTGGCTTGTGATCATATTGGAATCAAATGTTTCTTGCATGCACCCATTCAACGAGAAATAGAATGGTGAAAAAAATTTATTCGATTCCGATTTCTTGAGGATTTCTTGTTATTATTTGTAATAACTTATACAGTCGTCCTCCTCTATAATCACGCTATTTGTTTTACATAAAAAAGATGTGATTATAAAATTTTAATAGTAATGTGATTACAGTAAGACCTCCCTAAATGCACACCCCTCGGGACTATAATAAAAAAAAAGCAAAATGTGCACTTAAAGAGAGTGTGCATTTATAGAGAACAAAATATATAGTGCTCTTATAAGTTGGGGCTAAGTTATGCCGTGCATTTAGAGAGAATTTACATAGGGCATTGGGGTGTTTCATAAATTAATTCACATTAATTATCGACAGATTTTTTGATCGACAAAACCGTTACTAGTAAAATATTAGTGAACGAAAATTGATTCTTCTCACGTACTAACCACTTTTTACCGATAATTTTTATGGCAAACAGTTGGAAACGTGCAGACAAAGAAAGTTACGGGCCAATATTTTTAATTAATTATCAATTTTCAGATGTTGCATTAGAAAGAACTTTTCTTTTGTTATCATTATATATGTCCTAACGAAGAAAATGAGCGTTTGTGAGGGGATTTGCTTTTGTAACTAAAAATTTAGCCCGTAACTTTACAAAAAAACTTTATACTATATTGTATATTGAGTTTTATTGAAAGTTTTCTAGCTAGTTTTAACGCTGAATCTTTTTAAGATTCTGCCTTGATTATTATTAAATAATGTTATAATAAAAAAAAAATTTTTTTTTTGCATTGAATTGGCTTTTGTCATTGAAATTTTATTTTTGTTATTGCCGTACATGTTTTAACAGTATTTGTGTCAAATCGACTCAGGTATCATAACATAACTTCTTAAAAAAATGCCTATATTATATATATTGTGGGGTTTCATGTTTGTCTAGTGAATTATTTAATACAGCCTTTTATCATTATATTTTAAGCAAACAAAATGTGCATTTGTCTTGAATTGGCTTTGTTAGATTAAAATTTAAAAGGTCAACTACATAACCTTCAGGATATTTTCGCATATTCATAGCTTTATACTTGAATTTTTGACTCAATGCCTAAACCTTCAACCCGAAAATTGCAATTAAAGGTGCTTGAATCACTTGCGCAACAGCGCAAGCTGGAACAGCATCAAGAAACTATTGACAAAATAATAAATCATCTTAAAAAAATTGATGATCAAAAACTTAAATTGATGCATGATTTGATTTTTATTACTCTTAAAGACATATCAGAGACGGATATAACATCAATATCACATCTCTTGCGTACAATAAAATATCCACATGGAAAAAACCAAAGTCGAATAATATCACCTTATATACAAAACAAAGCCCACAATTACATATCTAATACTCTTTATAAACCTGGAACATCTTTGGATACACTAGTTCATCAAAATAAACAACTTAAAAAAAGATATTAAAAAATTGCAACGATCTAAAGATTGTGCAATCCATAAAGTTCGAAAGCTCAATAGTTCAATTGTACAATTTAAGCGTAAGCATAATCGGCATATATCTCGAATCTATGTAATGGCCAGACATCCACCAAAATTAAAAGATCGTGATATAAAAACCATGATTAATAATCTGGTTAAAAAAAATAAAAAAGAATATAATACAGATTTCATAAAGCTTACCATACAAATTTCTCAAATTAGCCAAATGTCTTTTAATACTGTGGCAACTAGTATAAATACCGTTTTTAATTTTCTAACAGGCGATAATGAACAGTCTTGGGTTTCTGTAGCAACTATTAGTCGTTGGCATCATGAGGTATCAAAATTGTATGTTAGGAATATATTTTTACAAGCCAATGGTTCGAATCATTTTGTATTTGGAATTATGGCTGATGAATCAGGTCAAGAAGAAAAGAAAATATTAGTAAACTGCTTTATGTTTTGGAATTCAGCAAAAAATATTCCTGATGTTGCACTTTTAGAAACGAAAGATCTTCAACGCTGCAATTCTAACACGGTTAGTCAAGCACTTATCGAAACCTGCACAAAATATAACCTTGATACCACACGATACCTTACCTTTCTTTCTGATAACACAAATTACATGAGTGCTCATGCCGGCGGTGCTGTAGCAAAATTCAACAGATCAACTAAAAGTAGTTGTACCCGAATTCCTTGTGGATTACACATACTACATTTGATATTGAATAATTTTGAAGAGACAGCCTTCGGTAAACTTTCAACAACTACCAGATTCTCAAAAACACGACATCCGTTTAATCTTCTCTATTTAGCATGGATACTGCATGATGGATATAATCAAAGCGATAAAGATTCGCCACTAAATATGAGAAGTGAAACAATCCAGGGTCTCTATAAGGAACGACTTAATTATTAGTTAGCTAAATATCATTATCCTTTACAGTCAAGATGGCAGTATGAATTAATTACGGCAGAGCAGTATCTTGAAAGGCGTGAAATCTATATAGAATTTGTTGAATGGTTCCTTCCAAAATTAAAGAGTTTAAATAAAGTTCCTATCTCTTATATTCAAAAATAGGAACTATTTCAACGCTGGTTAAATGATTCTGAGTTAAACATTGAAGTTCAATGTTTAGTCAAATTTGAACAAGAATTTTACCATCCATTTTTAGAATTTCTTGTCAGTTATGATCCACAGGCAAGAATTTTACAACCTGATAATTCACTACAATGTTTACCATCTGGTCGTCAAGCACACCAAATGCCAGATTTTGTTGTTAATTCAACTTCCAACCTTGCAAATATCTTAGAAAATCCTTATTCATTTTTCGGTGATAAACTCCTACAAAGTACCGAAATTATGGACGATTCAAAAATTGATCAGTTAGTTCAAAAATTAGAGCAAGGAATACAGAAAGGATTTGAATTGCATCAAAAATGGTTAAATTGTTGGCTTAATCTTCCCCTAAGTATATGCCGTCTTGGTGGAAATAGTGCGCAACAATTTGCACGTAGCTATTGGCATGTTGTACTCAAAAAGCCTTGGCCTCAATGTCCTAGTCCAAAAGAACTTTGTTATGCAGAATATCTCGAAATGGATATTAAAGAAAAAAGATTTGATGACTTTGGCTTTAAGACTGCACTAAATAATGAATCATTCTTTCAAGAATTTAGCAAGTTCATTAAGGAATCAAATGTTTCACTTCATAAATACCCGCAGCTATATGATTTTGTTAAAAACAAAATCTGGTATATTATTGTTCATCAACAGCAAATAGAAGGGTTGTTTAATAAGTGGAATTTAAAAACTCACCAAAATATGACCAATGATACTCAACAGTCCAAAATGCGTCTTTCAACAACTGAAATAAAAGAACTTCAATTTACCGATGAACAATTAAAGAATATTCGAAATGAAAATAGAATAACCTACCAACATGATTCTACTATATTAGTTCATTCAGACCAAGAAAGAGAACGACGTGCAGATAGTCTTTTTGATGAATTATTTATGTGTCGCTAAAATTCAAATATAATAAAACAGTACGTGGGAAAGTTTTAACAGATTGACTTTTTCGTCACACACTGATTTTTAAGTTCTATTGGCTAAAAACACATCATATAATCACGGGTTCGAAATGGTCAAATATCACATAAAAAATCTGTATTATTAATTTTTACTATCGTATCTGAAATGCATTTGATTAATTAGTATATGAAATACCCCAATAGGGCATGCACTTATAGAGTGTGCACTTAGGGAGGTCTTAGATATTTCCTCACCCCTTTTTTGATAATGCCACACCCCCGCAGATCATTCTAATTTTTACAATTTTTTTCGAATTTTGATTGAAGATATCTTGATATTTACCTGACCACACACGACAAACTTTTTTTTTAGTTCTACTGATTTCTACAATTAAAATAAAAAAAAAGAGGTTGATCTTTAGTATAGGTGGGCAATATAGAAATAATATAAGATTATAATATAAAAAATAGCTATTTGAACTAATTTAAGCAAATTTGGGATTAGTTAGAGTTAGGGTAAGAGTTATAGTATAATTTATAGTTAGGTTAGAGTTAGAGTTAGAGTTTTTTTGTATTATAATCTTATAATATTTTTATATTGCCCACCTATACTAAAGAAGGTCCAAAAAAGATTGTTGAATTTGATTAGATAATTGTTGAGATATCTTTGATCAAAGTATTATAAATTTAATATTTATCAAATATTGTAGAAGTTATATTGCAGGTTGTGAAACTTTGATCGAAGATATCTTAACATCTACTTGACTAAATTCAATGAGCTATGTTTCTTTGAATTCT